CTGGGATTATAGCATGAGCCACCATGCCCAGGTCTTCATCTACTTTTAAGGCTTTATTTAGTATGAACATTGATAATTCATAGTATTAGAAATAAGAGTTCTCTGGGCCAGGTGCTGTAGCTCATGCCTATAATCTCAGCGCTTTAGAGATTGAGGTGAGAGGATAGCTTGAGACCAGTTCAAGACTAGCCTGGGTAACAAAGTGAGACCCAGTCTACAAAATATATATATTTTTAAGTTGGCTGGGCATGGTGGTGTGTACGTGTAGTCCTTGTTATTCAGCAGGCTGGGTTGGGAGGATTGCTTGAGCCCAGGAGTTGGAGGCTATAGTGAGCATTACCATGGCACTGTACTGCTGTAAGGGGCCCTGTCTCTCTCTCTGTTTTTTTTTTTTTTGAGACGAAGTCTTGTTCTTGTCCCCCAGGCTGGAGTGCAGTGGCGTGATCTCGGCTCACTGCAACCTCTGCCTCCCAGGTTCAAGTGATTCTCCTGCCTCATCCTCCCGAGTAGCTGGGATTACAGGCGCCTGCCACCACGCCTAGCTAATTTTTTTATTTTTATTTTTATTTTTTTAGAGAGACGGGGTTTCACCATGTTGGCCAGGCTAGTCTCGAACTCCTGACCTCAGATGATCCGCCCGCCTTGGCCTCCCAAAGTGCTGGGATTATAGGTGTGAGTCACCGCGCCCTGGCCTCTGTCTCTTAAAAAAAAAAATTAAGTCTCCTGTATGGTTCATGAAAAAGAAAAAAAAAAAGTGTTCTCTGGAGTTAATATTTTTCCCATTCCTATAACTAGACTGTTAATGTTCATCCAAAGCATGTATTTCACTTGTACTTTTTTTGTGAATGAATTGGTGATACATGTGTTGTTAATAAAGTTATAAAGCACCAGTGTCCAATGAAAATGTGAGCCATATATATAACTAAAATTTTAGTATTAAAATTAGAAAACAGTTGAAATTAATTTTAATATTTTAAATAAATGTTTTAATTTAACTTAATAGATCCATTTATTTTTGAGATGGAGTCTTGCTCTGTCTCCTAGGTTGGAGTAGAATGTCGCGATCTCGGCTCACTGCAACCTCTGCCTCCTTGGTTCAAGGGATTCTCCTGCCTCCCAAGTAGTTGGAATTATAGGCACCCACCACCACGCCTGGCTAGTTTTTGTATTTTTAGTAGAGATGGGGTTTTGCCATGTCAGACAGGCTGGACTCCAACTCCTGACCTTAGGTGATCCACCCGCCTTGACCTCCCAAAGTGCTGGGATTACAGGGGTGAGCCACCACGCCCGACTGTGCCTACTCTGTTGCACAGCACAGTTCTAGAGCTTTTCCTGTTACGAAACAAATACATAGTCTTCTATAAATAATACAGTAATCTAGTAGTTGAGTCCTGGTTGAGTCCATGTGTCCAAGGGGAAGATTTTAAAGCTTTTACTCTTATCTATGTCTAGCATGTAGATGAACGTAAAATCTTGAAATACTCTTCTTAAACCCATTCTTGAAATGTGCCTTTCATTTAGTAAATACTAAAAAAAAGATTGCTGGTGTTAATTTATATCAGCTTTCTGCATCTAACATTTAACTTCTCCATATTTTCAATGAATTGACTTAGAGAAGTTAATGATGTTAAGAATTTTATGGTATACATTTTTGAAAAATAAATTTTATTGTGTATATTTGAGACTTACAACCTAATGTTAGAGATTACATTTTTTAAAGGCACCTTGTGTCCAAAGCAAGTTCATATTGCATCTTCAGACCTGAACCTGAATGTGGCTTAAAATACTTAAATACTCTTTGACTTTTGAAAACATATTTATAAAAGAAGCCATTTGATTTTTTTTTTTTTTTTCTGAGACAGTGTGTCGCTTTGTCGCCCAGGCTGGAGTGCGGATCTCAGCTCACTGCAACCTCCGCCTTGTGGATTCAAGCAATTTTCTGCCTCATCCTCCTGAGTAGCAGGAATTACAGGCGCCCACCACCAGGCCTGGCTAATTTTTTTGTATTTTTAGTAGAGACGGGGTTTCACCATATTGGCCAGGCTGGTCGTGAACTCCTGACCTTGTGATCCACCTGCCTCAGCCTCCCAAACTGCTGGAATTAAAAGCGTGAGCCACCGCGCCCGGCTACAATTTGAGTTTTATAATTTTGATTAAAAATAAACCTACAGAAGTGTACTGTATAGAAAGACATTTCAAATTCCAACAGCTTTTAAATGCTTTTAATGCCAGGGCTGTGTGCATTAGGGATGTAGTGATGTGACATTTACTCTTTTTTTTTTTTTTGAGATGGAATTTGGCTTTTGTTGCCCAGGCTGGATTGCAATAGCGCCATCTCAGCTCACTGCAACTTCCGCCTCCCAGGTTCAAGCGATTCTCCTGCGTCAGCCTCCTGAGTAGCTGGGATTACAGGCGTGCGCCACCACGCCCGGCTAATTTTGTATATTTCGTAGAGATAGGGTTTCTCCATGTTGGTCAGGCTGGTCGACATTTTACTCTTTAAAGTATTTCAGTATGAGCCAAAGTAGTAAATGACTACACTGCATTTATTGCAGTAGGCAAACCTTGTTGAGCCAAGGAAATGTGAAAACTAGGAATAATAACGGCTTTAGTTTAGACCCTAGTAGAACAAGAGACTAATTTTATCTTGAATAAGATGTGCATTTAGCTTAACTATGGCTTAATAGCAATTGAGATTCCATAATTTCCTTGTAATTTATAGATTTTAATCTAAGATTTTTCAGAGAACTTGACTTCCTAATAGTTGTACTGTCATAATTAGGAAGTGAATCACGTTGATATTCTTGAGAAGTTTGCGTGAATGTAGTGGTCTGTGTAAGAGTTGGTGACATTCCTTTAATTATTCAATGGTTTCACTTTTTAGTAAATCTTCAGGTTTGAAAATCACTGGAAACCTTACAGTTGAGACTGATCATGTTTTTGTGAAAAAATATCAAGCCCCATTTAAGGAAAAAATGAAATGTATTTTATAAGTAAGAAAAGCCATTATCATTTTAACTATAGAACTAACTTAAAATTTTAGAGTCTGCCCCAAATTCTCCAAGAATTGGAAGCCCATTGAGCCCAAAGAAAAATAGCGAAACAAGTATTCTTCAAGCAATGTCTAGAGGTTTGTCCACCAGTTTGCCTGACTTGGACTCAGAACCTTGGATAGAAGTTAAAAAGAGACATCAGCCAGCACCAGTGAAATTGAGGGTAAGTTGTTACAGACTGAGTGAAGTGTGACATACCCTGGGTGGAGTATAAGGTCAGTGCATTTTATGTTTGTTAGGTGCATATGTAAAATTTGGAAAAGTTTAGCAAAGTTTTAAATTTGTAATTTTTGGCCTTCAGTAGACACTTATGGGTTATTCTATGAGGAAAATAAGTTGTATCAAGTTTCAAAGTGTATTTTTTTTTTTTTTTTGAGATGGAGTTTCGCCCTATCACCCAGGCTGGAGTGCAGTGGCGCGATCTCGGCTCACTGCACCCTCTGCCTCCCGGGTTCAAGCGATTCTCCTGCCCCAGCCTCCTGAGTCGCTGGGATTATAGGCACGAGCCACCACGCCTGGCTAATTTTTGTATCTTTAGTAGAGACGGGGTTTCACCATGTTGGTCAGGCTGGTCTTGAACTCCTGACCTCGTGATCCACCTGCCTCAGCCTCCCAAAGTGCTGGGATTAGAGGCGTGACCCACCACGCCCGGCCTTAAAGTATATTTTTTATTTCTGAACATGATTTAAGAATTTTGGAGGCTGGGCACAGTGTCCCATGCCTGTAATCACAGCACTTTGAGAGACCGAGGCAGGAAGATTGCTTGAGCCCTGGAGTTCGGGGCCACCTGGGCAACATAGGGTGACCCTGTCTCTACAAATAATTCAAAAAATTAGCTAAATGCCAATTTTTTGGTGGAATGTGCCTGTGGTCTCAGCTACTCAGGAGGCTGAGACAGGAGGAACACTTGAGCTCAGGAGGTCAAGACTGCAGTGAGCCATGATCATACCACTGCACTCCAGGGAGGGTAACAGTGAGATCCTGTCTCAAAAAAAAAGAAAGAATTTTGTCTTGGTTTTTCTACTTGTGACTAATTTTAACTTGAATAATATTTCAGTTTTTTATAAAGTTGAAAAAATATGACTTTTTTTTTTTGAGACAGAGTCTCGCTCTGTTGCCCAGGCTGCAGTGCTGTGCTGCGAAGTTGGCTCACTGCAGCCTTTGCCTCCTGGGTTCAAGACAGTCTTGTGCCTCAGCCTCCTGAATTACTGGGATTACAGGCTCACTCCACCATGCCCAACTATTTTTTTGTGTGTTTCTGATACAGACGGGATTACACCATATTGCCCAGGCTGGCCTCAAACTCCTGTCCTCAAATAATTCGCCTGCCTTGGCCTCCCAGAGTGCTGGGATTACAGGCGTGAGCCTCTGCAGCCTGGCCAGAAAATATATAAATTTTGAAGTTATACCCATGTTAATTATTTATAAGGTTTATGTAAGTGTTGGTGATTTATACATCAGCTTTATATATGTTTTGGTGATTTAATGCACAAAAGGAAAAGAAAATTGAATTTTTGGTGGGGGGTACGTAAGGGAGTGAGATGGTTATATTTATAAAAACAGCAATAGGAGATCCTTGTGGTGGTACTGCTCTGCATTTTTCGCTGGTGGTAGATACACGAACTTACATATGTGATAGGATTGCTTTGATCTAAATAAAAAATGAGTGCAAGTAAAATTGGGGAAGTATAAGCTAAGACTGATTTATATCAAAGTCAATACCTTGTTTGGAATGTTGTAGTATATTTTTGTAAGATGTTAACATTGGGGGAAACCAGGATACGTGAGATCTCTATTATTTCTTACAACTGTATGTGAATGTATAATTATTTCAAAGTAAAAGTTCACTAAAAATAAACTTGGGAAGAATGCCACTCAAAAGATTCAAATATTGAAAGTAAGCTCTCTAAAGAGGATGGAAGGTATTGAGAGGATTGTGATGTGGAGGACCAGCAAATTGTTTCTGGTGGCTGGTTTTAAAAGTATAAGGAGAACTGTATAGTTTTATGGCCAAAGAATGCCAGTATATCTGAAATGTATGGTATTTTGATGCTATAGACTGAGGATCTGGCCTGGAGGAAACATGGCTTTAGGTTCTGGGGACCTAGATATTTCAGAGATAACTGTTGAGGTAGCTCAGTTATTGACATTATTTTTAATATACTTTTAAAAAAGTGATCTTTTAAAAACATTCTAGAGTGGGTATAGAAATGTTGGTTGGACATCATTTTTCTTTGGAATTCTAAAAACATTTTTCTTTTGTCATCTTGGTTTCTTTTGTCATCTTATAAAAGTCAGTCCCTTCGCGTTCTTTGTATCAAGTGTTTTTTTTTTTCTTCTTGAGATTTTTTTTTTTTTTTTTTTGAGACAGAGTCTAGCTGTCATCCAGGCTGGAGTGTTTTTTTCCAGTGTTTTTTTTTTTTTTTTTTTTTTTTTT